AATTCAAGTTCAATTTTTTTTTTTTTTGGTACAATGAACCTTCCGGTTTCCGAATCCCTTAGGGGACCGACTAATCCGGAATCGAGCCGGGTAGGACCACAAGGGCGGCAAACCTCTACCTCAAGAGTTTTAACACAGCTGCATTCCCAGGGCTCGAACTCGAGACCTCTGGTTAAGCTGGGAGAGACCCCAACCATCTCACCCACGTGCTCTTGGGTTCAAGTTCAATTTTTTATCAAGCCGACTCGTTTAGTTACCAAAATGAAAAGATATATTATTAGCAAGTCGAACTCAAACTTTAACGAGTCAAGTTCGTCTCAATGAGCTTGAGTTAGATAAATAAATAGTCGATCAAAACTCACAAATGACTCGTTTGTTTTAATATCTCGATATCCAAATATCCATGTATCTTTATTGATATATTTTCAATTTGATACTTTGTTGTAAATTTATTTTAAAATAAATTATTGATTAATTTGGTATTTAAAAAAAAAGTATTTGAGAAATAAAATATATTTAATAACAAATCTATAAAAAAATAAGCGTACAACATTTGAAAAAAAAAAGAGATATATAGACATATTCTTTGAGTTTATAATATTTTTTTTTTCATTTTATAACCTTTATTGAAAAACTTTAATGTCGTTATAAACTTCCAAACACACTACTAATCAACCTGTGCATTTGTACAAAAAATAATACTTTAAAAATATACATTTGCACAGAGAAGAATACTTTAAAATGATAACAATATAAATAAAAATAAAATAAATTATAATTTAATTCATTAAAAAAATATGAATTAAGAAAATAATTCTCAAAATTGATTTTGATCAAGTAATTTATATGGGAGAGCCGTTACAATCATTATCTTTATGCTAATACACCCGGTCGTTTTCATAATTTATGGCATTCAAGCAAGTTATTTTGTAATTTAAAAATAAAATTAAATGTTAAAAATTTTGTAGGGAGAATAAAAATTAATGCATGATAATATAATTTAATATTTTCTTGTTCCTCTTTATATATATATATATATAAAGAAGATTTCAAAGAGCTCTCTCAAAATATACTGAATGACAATATTGCCCCAATCCAATCTTCGTCCTGAGATTTGCAACTCATTGCGCAGCTCTGCAGCTCAGTCTAATCAAACCTGCTCGCTTTATAGCTTTCTTGGAGAATAATAAATCCCCAAATCATTCAGGCCCTTCAATTCCAGGGCTTATTTCTTTAAAACCCAGATAAAATCATCGAATTTCAGGTTCTTAGCTCATGTTCTCTCTTTATCTTTCTAATCGCACACATGCTTTTAAACTTTCCGAAAAAAAAAATTGCATTTTTTGCTGACGTGCAGCGGAAGAAAGTAATCGCATACGTGGGATCTAATCTTCTCCAAAGAATAACTTTATCTCAATTGGGTTCAGCTAAAATTGGATCACTGTTCGTAGCTTTCGTCAAAAGAAGAAAGAAATGGAGTTTCCTGTTTTTATTTCCGTGTTTTATATGTCGTTCGTGTTTGCGTTTATTTTACAGGCTTTGGAAACGATGGCTCAGGACGTGGAGATGAAGGAGCAGCAGCCTGCCACGACCAACTCCATTTCCGACACTTCGCCATCCACCATTCAGCGTGAGTAGAGTTGATTTGGTTGAGTTGTAGAATTTGAAGCTTAGATTTCTTTTTTTTTTTTTTAGAGATTTATCAAAATTTGGTTATGTAGTTCGTGTAATTTTGATAAACATTTAGCTATGTTCGATTAGAAAATGGTGAGGTTAGGCCCATTTAAGAGATCTGTTTCAGCTAAATTTAGTTTTCCGATGAATACCCATTTTACCTGATTGATTTCCTCTGCATTGTAAAAAAGGGTTGGAAATTGAAATTTCAATTTTCTACTTTATTTGATTGTTCGTACTAGATTTGAAAGACATTGCCGCAATGATTGAAACGGGAGCTTACACCCGAGAGGTTAGGAGGATCGTTAGGGCAATTCGGTGGACAATTCAAATCAGGAAGAAGCTGAATGCTTCTGTGCTTTCTGCATTTCTCAACTTTGCACTCGTGTCTGGTTCCGAGGCTCATTCACGCTTGTCTTCGTATTTTCCTAAGGTATGAACTTTTGTGTTAACAATTTCCAAGGGCTGATTCATCATCGAGCACCGAGCAACTTATCTTGATGTAGTAATCTAATTTATGAGAATTTTCTTTGGGTGAAAAAGGGGCGTTTGGAAATGGTTTTAACTCATGATATTGTCACCTCCAGTTGTTAATTGTTATAGTTGCAATTTGGGTGACTATTTCTCCCATGTTTCCGCTTTTTTACTGATCTATGGAAAAATAGTGTTTTTTCCCATGCTCTACTTTTTTTCAATCTTTTCAAAAACCAAACTGTACATATGATTAACCGCATATATAACTAAGATAATTTGGAAGTGCAACTCGAGGGTGATGTTACGCATAGAGAGCTAACTACATACACTAATGTTTTAAATTTTCTTATAAATTACTGATGATGATAACAGAGGGATGAGCATAATATGGAGGTGGATAATATTGCTCATACGAAGCATGCCTTACCAGAGCTTGAGATCTATTGCTATTTGCTCGTGCTAATATTTCTGATTGACCAAAAGAGATACAATGAGGTGGGTTATGTTTTTAAAGGTTCAACCAGGGCATATGTTATTTTAACAGTGTCTAGTGAAGTAGTGATTCTCTCTTTACTCTCAGGCCAAGGCTTGTTCTTCAGAGAGTATTGCACGTGTGAAGAACCTCAACAGGAGAACCATAGATGTACTGGCATCAAGGCTGTACTCTTATTATTCACTGAGCTATGAACTTACTGGGAATCTAGCTGAAATACGAGGGTATGTGTAATTCTGTTAGTTTGAATTGCTTAGGGTGTGATTGGATATGGATTTGATTGGTTTTTGATTGTTACCCAATTGAAAAATGTGGTATTATTAGTTGTTAGTGGGAATTTAAGTTTAAATTTAAATATTATTTAAAATAAAATAATTAAAGTTGATTGATGTAATAGTAGCAGAAAAATGATTGGAAGTGATGGTTAGTTAAAATTATGTGAGTGGATGAATTAGTGAATTAAAGTTGATGTGATGTGTAATAATGATTGGTTGATAGTTTAATTATGTTGATAATATTGATGAGAATGTGGTTGAGTTAAATTTGAGTTTTTGATTGGTTTTTTTTTTCAATTGAATTTATATGCGGGAATGAAGTCATAATTTTGTTTTGTTTTGAAATAATAACTGTTGTATGTAACAAAAAAACTGTCATATGTTTGCAGAACTCTACTTTCTTTGCACCGGACTGCGACTTTACGTCGTGATGAGTTGGGCCAGGTTTGTTTGTAACTGCACAATCTATTTATTTTCTATCTTTGTAGTAGTTTTGTCGTGTTCTGTAGCATTATTATATAAATCAGGAAACTCTTCTGAATCTGCTGTTGAGAAATTACCTCCATTACAACTTATATGATCAAGCAGAGAAATTGAGATCAAAGGCTCCTCGTTTTGAAGCTCACTCAAACCAGCAGGCAAGTCAGTTGCTGCTAAGATTATGTATTTTATTGCATTACATGTTTAACATGTTTGATTATAAAGTATAATTAGTTTGTCTATCAACAATCATTTTTAGGCAAATACCTAAAATAGATTGTGTAAATTGATGTGGAAAAAAGAAGATTGGAATAACACATACACCGTAGGTTTTTTGATGTATGTACTGAGATTACTGATGTAGAAGGATTAAAATGGCAGTATTGAAATTATTCGATGTTAAATTATATACTTGGTATAAAATGCTAATCTGATGTCAAAGAAGTCATCTTATAGTATGAAAAACATCATTTTTACCTTGTTGAAGAAAAGGGAAATATGTGCCAATTTACTGCTCTNCATTTTGAGGTATTTCTTTGCATTATTCGTGTCGAGACCTAAGTTTCCTTAATTATTAAATTTAAATGTCGTTTAGATCTCACTGCTCTCATCATTTCTTTTTGTGCCTCCTTTAGTTCTGTCGATACCTCTTTTACCTGGGAAAAATCCGAACAATTCAGCTAGAGTACACTGATGCTAAAGAGTCCCTTCATCAAGCTGCTCGGAAAGCACCTGCTTCGGCTCTCGGTTTTCGAATCCAATGCAACAAGTGGGCCGTTATTGTCCGATTACTGCTTGGAGAAATTCCAGAGAGAAGCGTTTTTATGCAGAAAGGGATGGAAAAGGCACTCCGGCCTTATTTTGAGCTTACAAATGTGAGTCTTTTTCAACTTTGTTTTCGATACCAAAAAAATTTAAAAAAAATAATGCTAAATTGCATTTTTAGTCCCAAGAGTCTAACATTTCGCATTTTAGTCATGCGATTTATATTTTGTTGCAATTTCAGTCATTTGAGGACTGAATTACAACAAATTTTGCATTTTTAGTCCTGCTCGTTTAACGCTACAACAATTTTTGTCTCAAGATTCTAACATTTCGCCTTTCAGTCCCGTGATTTAATATATTATTGCAATTTCAGTTATCAAAGGACTAAAATTACCACAAATTCTCAGATTTTCGATTAGCACTTTAAGTCCGGTAATTTTGTTGCAATTTCAGTCCTTAAATGACTGAAAATTTGTAGCAAAATATTAAATTGTAGGACCAAAATACGAAATTGCCCTTGATTTTGGCATTCACGTGTTTTCTTTCCTTCAGGCTGTCCGGGTTGGAGATCTCGAGCTTTTCAAGAAGATAGCCGACAAATACACAAGTACTTTTGCGGCCGACCGTACAAACAACTTGATCGTTCGGCTAAGGCACAACGTTATCCGAACAGCACTTCGCAACATCAGCATCTCATACTCACGCATCTCACTCACCGATATTGCTTCAAAACTGCAGCTCGACTCTTCGAGTCCCGTTGCAGATGCCGAATGCATCGTGTCCAAGGCAATTCGAGACGGGGCCATTGATGCCAGGCTGGATCGGGCCAGCGGGTCGATGGTTTCAAAGGAAACGGGTGACATTTACTCGACAAACGAGCCTCAGAGTGTGTTAAATTCAAGAATTGCCTTTTGTTTGAACATGCATAATGAGGCCGTTCGAGCCTTGAGATTCCCGCCTAACTCGCACAAGGAGAAGGAGAATGCGGAGAAGAGGAGGGAAAGGCAGCAACAGGAGGAGCAGGAGCTTGCTAAGGTTATAGCTGAGGAAGACGAAGATGAATTTTGATGGCGATTGTGATTATTATCTTAGTTATGGTTGGTGGATTTTTTTTATTTTTTTTTTCCTTCCTGGATGTTGTTTGAGTTGTCAAAGACTCGAGTATTTGGATTTTGGAGCACGACATTATGTTGCTATGAACTCATAAGATTTGGAGTTTGGAGCTTATGCACGTTTTCAGTTTTGAAAGATTTCAGTACGTGAAATAGTTTTATGCATAGTTTTAGGCTGGAAAAATGCTCGTGCTCTACAACGATAAGATAAACGTGAAATGGTTTTATGCATAGTTTTAAGCTGGAAAAATGCTCTTGCTCAAGCATAGTGTTATATGCAAACCAACACGACCACATTTTGGCCTGGTTTTTTGCCTCGTTTTCACTCGTATTGTCTCTCAAATCAAATGCCATAAACAGAAAATGATAGAATTTGGTGTCAAGGCAAGATAAGCTTTTGTTCATGCTTAATCTCAAAATTCACTCTTGGGTGGACTACTACAATTTTTCAGGTAACTTCCTCGATAATGTTTGATACAGTGTAGCAACTAACATCGAATCCAAATCTTGGTGTAAACCATTCACTTGCTATTCCAGAGTAAATCGATTGTCTAAATGCCAATATTTCTGCTAAAAGGAGTAAACACATGAACACTCCACAATCTTACAGGAAACATTGAAAACGGGGCCTTGACTGTATAAACTCCAGATCGAGATAGTCGTAATGAAGTTACAATGGTATTTTCAAAAAAACAGAGTAAAGAAAATGGAAAACTTTAGTCGAGAGAGTGAATGGCAATGGTGCTTTCAGCAATCAGCTTGTTGGATTCAACCCAAAGGACTTAACCATCGAACTGACTCTTTCAGCAAAGATTTTGGATATGATCTTTTTACCCGGAATGTGAAACGGGTTCGTTACTGCATCAACATAGGCGGCGTGAAACTTCCTGAAAAACTGCACCATTTTCCGCAGATATGTACGGAGAAAAAAGAAAAATCAGATGTCATGTATTGGACAAGAATAAACTCTATCAAGGGGGACTTTACAGCAGGAATTTTACATTACACTAAGAGATGGAAATGTTCGGAATGTGAGGATCAATAGAAACCGGATTATTTAAGAAAAACAATGTAACGTTCGCAACTTCAAATGACTCCAACTCCCAAGATCCTGTGAATTTAGCTTTAGAGTTTCTCACTCAAAATACACACAGGTTAGTTCAACTGATTCGGGCATACAAGTGAAATTGTTACCCTCAAATTAGAGTTACTTCAGACCTGAATGCAACAAAACAGGACCTATTGACTAAAGTATTGACAGGACACACATTATGCCCATATGTGTTCTCCAGTTCTGTAGAGTTCTACAGAGTAAACATTAAAAAGGTAGTAAACAGAAGAATTCAGGCCAATCCCACAGTGATATAACTTACATTTCTCACGTCTACATCTCGGACGTCAAGGTCTGTTGTCACCAGTATAAACTTCACCTTTGTATTGGTCAAATAACCATACCTAGAAAAACATTACGTCGTGAGCCTTAGCTAGGACGAGCAAGGGGAAGTAATCGGATGTCCTGTTTTCAACCATAACCATAGAAAAGGAGATTCTTTCTACTCACACTTTGTAGTTTTCAGTTGGATATAGCAAACCAAGGAACGCCTCGTTAATTGTCGGGCCCGATTTTTTCGGGTTGTTCACTGATATGAACACAAAAGAAAAAACCCACTCAGCCATAATATCAGGTGTAGCTGCAAAATTTCCCAGTTTGCATACACCACAGTATATGAAATGTCATGAAAATAGAATATCCAAATCATTGTTTAGATCAATTTAGAAACTACAATACTAATGGCTGCAACAAATAGAATAGTCATGCATATCAGAATCAAATTGGGAATTAGGTTTTCGTTCAACAGGCAGAGTCTTACACAAGATCTAACAATAAACAACTGACCTCTTTCTTCAACGACGTCGAGCGAACAGTGAACTATGTGATGGAGCTTGAGCGCGTCATCTGCCTCTGTAAAGCTCTGTATGTACAAAGGATTGTTCTGCAAATGGCAACAAACAACATACTGTTACGAATTTCGGATTACGTTTTTTAAAGAGTTGAAGCGGTAGAAATGATTGGACAATCGCTGATTGAAATAGTTTACAGGGAGACCGCCGGTGCACCTGGTGGCCAACGACGGCAAGGCAGACGATCATTTCTCCGGCGCTGTGAGCTGAGATCTTCCCAATCGAAGATAAAGTGAATCTCAAAACAACGACTAAACTCAAAAAGAATGTGAAAATTTTGATCTCGTGAATTGTTAATGACTAAATTAATTAATTAATTATTAAATTAGAATCACATTAAAATCTTAATGATATTCATTCAGCAATTCTTAAATTTTTAAGTGATTATAAAATTCAACCACTTGATATAGAAAAATATTTAACTCTTATCAAATTTAACCTCTTGACAATTAAATCAATGTGTGAGTACATCAAAAAATTAAGTTATAATTTAAATTCTAGACTTAAAGCAAATATAATAAGTATTTTCTATCATTATGCATTAATTACATCCTCATTATAGTAATTTTATACAATTTTTTAAAACAAATATCGAAGTATTAATTGTAATCAATTTTAAATTCTCTTAAATTAGACTCAATGAGTGGGTCACCAATTAAAAAAACATAAAAAAAAAAAGAAAGGTCATGAAAGAGCGAGACCTTGGGTCGCGATCCATGTAGTGTGCGGAGAATGAGACATTTGTCTCGTTTTGATTAGATAAGTGGATTTTTTTTAAAAAAAAGATAAAATAAAAATAATATTAAAATTCGTATTTTTTCATTCTCTACAAATAGAGACCACACTTGATATTTTGAAATAAAAATGTAATTTTTAAATAAATTAAAATAAAATAAATATTTAGGATGAGTTGGGTTGGAGATAAAGATAAATTGAGTTGTAAAGTTGAGTTGTGTAGGTTGAAGAGAAAGAAATAATTTTTAATTACTAAGTTGGGTTGGATTGGGTTGGGGATAAAGACAGTGTTAACAACCAGATTTATTGTTTTAAGAAGATACTCCATAATATTTAATTAAAGTATTAACCACTAAATTCGGTTGTTTGGAATCAATTCTATTTGATTAAAAGCAGTATTATTATGGAGTATCTTTTTAAAAGCAGTATAATTATATAATCAACTAAATTAACCACGATTCAATCTTTTTAATTCAATTTATATCTCTTTTTAGACTTATCAATTCATTTTAATATAATATAAATTTACCGTAAAAATGAGAGTATGACTTTAAAATAATCATGGTATCAATATTAATAATATAAATGATAAATAAAATTTAATTATTTGGACTATACACTTTTTTATATGCATATAAATAAATCACATATTGAACTTTAATTTTTTTTTATTTTTTTCACATATAGTTAGGCAATATATACAACTTAACTAAAAGTAAAAAATATTGTAAAGATTTCATTTCAATCTTGGTAACATGTATTTTAAGATTGCCACTATATTCGATTCACTATTCCACTACTCATATAAACATCTTTTTGTTTATATTATAACTATTTTTTTTATCATTTTGAATAATTTTTTTATCAATTTACTTATGAAATTATTTTTTCATTTAAAAATTGTGATTTACATGTCCTCTGATTTATTTAGTTAGTTTTGAGCTACAAATGATACAATGTCGTTGTTGATTTTTTTTAAACGTAATTATTTTTGTAAATATTGTTTTACAAAATATACAATCAAAATTCTAAATCTTTGTTAAAACATAACAAAAACAAAATTGTTCTCAATATTGGAATGAATTTGGCATAAAAAATGAGAATGATTGAGAAAAAAAAAAGATATACTCAAAATCCACACTTCAAGATAACAATTTTTCTTATATTCTATATAAAATTAAACTTCACCCGATAATCATATCTTTAGTATTTTTCAACAAAAAATTAAAAGAATGAGGTGTCTATGCAATTTTCAATTACCAATTGGAGAGCAATCTTAGTAAATATCGATCTACGGTTACCAAGTGCAAAATAATTTTGCATGAAAAAACAAAGAGGTTTCTAATAATGTATGATTTTTCATGATCAACATTTTACGATTACCTAACAAATGTTCTACGCATTATAACTTATTGATTAGTAGCCTTGAATTATAAATTTTACCAAAACAAATACAGCCCGTGCATCGCACGAGATTACGTACTAGTATTTTTTAGATACATAACAAAATATATAAGGGTTGGGTAACCAATTACTTAAAAACAGGTGTCAACACTATTATTAGTGTAACCACAATAAGAGCATTTAGATCTTTNAGTTTGTTTGTTTTGGAGGTGTGATTGGTAATTTGTCTTAGCAAGCATAGCCATGGGGTCAATCTGAGAGGTGTTTTGGAGGTTTCTTTTAGATTCTTCTTCAAGTATAAGCATAGCCGTGGAATCAATCTGAGAGGTTGTTTGAAGGTTTCTTTGGAATTCTTCTTGAAGTATAAGGCTGTAGATTTATGTTAGGCTTGGAAGTGGTGTAGACAAGACGAAATGGCTTCTTAGTGAGGAATAGGAGTCATGTAGGCCAACTAAGAATATCATTACATAATCATGTTGCTCATATACAGACATTGACTCAAATATCACAAGTGCATACAGAAAAAAATACCACATGTACATCTGAAAATCGGTCTGTATGTTACATATTTATCCCAAAGAGCCTTAAAAGCATTGTAATATTAGACGTTGAACCCTGATCCATCGTACTTAGTGATTTTTCAAGCTAAAAAAATCCTAGGACCACTACTTAATGCATATTTGTTCTTAATCTCATCCCAAACTTCGTTTCATGAAGTAAAAACAGTAAAGAGTGATGAATTTCTTTACATATTGAGTTATGAGATTGTTCGTAAGCATCAAATAACATATAATACAGGAGTATCACAGGGAGGAGATATTGTAACGTCGATGAATCCTCCTTTGTTTTTTACACTAAGTGCATTTGGACAACGTGTTACCACAAAACTTAGTTATCGCCGATGAAACTCTCGCGATGATCAAGGCACCGGATTTGTCTGACGTTTGAAGGTAGAAGGGGTAGATGGATTGTTTGAGGGCATACTAGTTGTCATTTTGTCGCGAGCAAGCGTAGATTGAAGCAAATATGAGGTGCGACTCATAACAATGAATAAGAAAAAGAGATTTTTTTTTATTTCCACATATATAACTTGGAATTAATTTTCCATTTAAAATAATTTGAGATATTTCTAAATCCTTTATTTAAAAAAATAAGGAAAATGATACATTGTCAACCTAGTCTACAACTAGATTGACAGCACAAGTAAAAATATCTAAAAAAATAAAAATAAAAAAATACGCAAGGGGATGTTTTCAATTGTGTTGTCGACCTAATTGTACATTAGATTGACAATATATCATCTCAAAAAATAAATAGCAAAACTATTTTTTCTTACAAATATTTATATGTAATATTATTATGATAAAAATATAACGAGCCCATGAAAATACTTGTTACGCGATTATAGAAATCACCCAAGGACAAGAATGCCCCTAAAATTTGTACTAATATATTAGTTTCAGATCTGTTGGTAACTCTGCAAATGAAAAATATATGTTCTGACGATTAATAGAAATCGCCGCCTGTTTTTCCGATTTCAGGTCAATCAATTCCACCGGTGAGCTCGATTTCGAAGGTATTCGATAGGGATTACTCTCCTCATTCCTCCACGCGACCGATTTATTCATCTGTATCGGCGTTTCAGAATTCTAAATTCCGTTTATGATAATGTTTTGTTTTTTTCGGATGATTAATTCATTGTTGTATGAAGAATGCATCGAATGAATCTGTGTTCATACCTATTTGTTCATCCGATCATGCTTGGGCACATTTTACATTTTATGTTAGCTTTTCCTCTAGCTGTGACGAGTTTTGAATTAGATACAGGGGTCTGGTGCTGGAGGTAGGTATTTCTTTATGTCTCGTTTTTTACACTTTCATCAGCTCATTTGAGACGTGGGTTTTTTAAGTTTGAGCTTATATGATATTTATCTGCAATATATCATCATGTGCCAATGGCTAGATATGTGTTTTGAGGAAGTCTAATTTAAATTGGGTTCACAATAGTCGAATATTTCTGCAAATTTGTGAATGCAGCTTTTGTCTCTGCTGGATGGAACCCGAGCAACCCGAGCAAAGTTCTGGAGTCTCGGATGTTAATGGGCCCAAATCGACCAAAGATGCAACCTTAAAACCGGATGAGATTCTCAAGAACTTACAGAACGTATCGTACATCTACAGAGAAGATATAGTGAGAAGGAAAACCAGCTCTGGCATTGGTATAGTGACTGAAGTTGCGGGTGATTCGAATTCCGATGGCAGCTCGACTGATGGCGAAGGTGATGGCGAAGATGATGATGAAGAAGAAGAAGAGGAAGAAGAAGAAGAAGAAGAAGAAGAAGAAGATGCTGATGAGGCTGGGTCTGATGAAGATGCTGACATGGAAAAAACCAAGAATGTAGAGCATAATGAGAATAATAGCCCCAAGCTGGGCCCACTTGCAGCTGACCAGATTAGAGTGCTCTGGATGGATGGGACTGAGACAGCCGAGAGCATAAACGACGTGAAAGTCATTGACAGAGGATTTTTGCACGGGGATTATGTGGCTTCTGCCTCTGATCCCACTGGCCAGATAGGCATTGTGGTTGATGTTGATATCACCGTGGATCTATTAGCATCCGACGGCTCGATTCTGAAAGACATAACTTGCAGAGACTTATTACGAATTAGGGAGTTCACTGTAGGTGATCATGTGGTGTTGGGACCCTGGCTCGGTAGAATCGAAGATATTTTCGATAATGTGACTGTCCAGTTGGACGATGGTTCTGTTTGCAAAGTGTTGAAAGCTGACCCGATGCATCTTAAGCCGGTCATGAAGGATGTTATCGATGATGGGCATTTCCCGTATTATCCGGGCCAACGAGTGAGGGCAAGCTCGTCATCGGTTTTTAAGAATGCCAGGTGGCTGTCTGGAATGTGGAAAGCTAATCGGCTGGAAGGTACGGTCACGAAAGTCACTGTTGGGTCGTTGTTTGTTTATTGGATTGCCTCTGCTGGGTATGGGTCGGATTCGGTCACAACTCCTGATGAAGAGCAGACTCCGAAGAATTTAAATCGGTTGACTTGTTTCTCACATACAAACTGGCAGTTGGGGGATTGGTGTATGCTTCCGTCAGGTCTGTACTCTTCGGGCGGGCTTCTGAACAAGGGATCTTCGAAATTAGATTCTAATGATAGTGTTGAGGAAGAACGTGAACCGGTTGAAACGGGTGATGAGTCTGATGATGCGGAGCTAGAAGATGCAGAGGAGTCGGCTGGGGATACTAAACCTACAGAAAGCAGTTCAGAGGCGGTTTCCGTGGACAAAAATGCCGAAAATATTTCTGCTTCGGGTTCGAAGGAAGCTGTCGTCCACGAGACGTGGCCGCTCCACCATCGTAAAAAGATCCGTAAAGTGGTGGTAAAAAAGGACAAGAAACCATCACGGAAGAAAGTGGAGAGTTTCGAACGTGCGTTCTTGATTATCAATACACACACAAAAGTTGATGTTGTCTGGCAAGATGGCTCGATAAAACAGAAGCTGGACTCATCGTCTTTAATTCCCATTGATAGTCCTGGGGATCATGAATTTGTTGCTGAGCAGTATGTGGTGGAGAAAGCAGCCGACAGTGATGATGCTGTCGAGACAAGACGAGTTGGGGTTGTGAAAAGTGTCAATGCCAAGGATAGGACAGCTTGTGTTAGGTGGTTGAAGCCTGTTGCTAGGGCTGAGGACCCTCGGGAATTCGATAAAGAGGAAATGGTGAGTGTGTATGAGCTCGAGGGGCATCCTGATTATGATTATTGCTATGGAGATATAGTTGTTCGGCTATCGCCTATTTCTTTGCCGGACAAGATGGATTCACATTCTGATGAGAACCCAATGCTTAATAGTTCGGATAATCCCGAGAGTGAGAAGGAAAGGAATGCAGAAAATGGGCATGACACGTCTACTGAGTTTTGTGATCTCTCTTGGGTTGGGAACATCACTGGGCTAAAAGACGGTGACATAGAAGTCACGTGGGCCGATGGAATGATATCTACTGTAATTTTTTTCTGTCAGACCTTGTGAATTTTTTTTGTTTCTTTAATTGTAGTCCTTTCCTTTTCTAGAAAGAACTATTTTCTCTTATTATGGTTTTGAATGAACAGGTTTGTTATTATTTCAGGTCGGTCCTCAAGCTATATATGTTGTTGGTCGAGATGATGATGAGTCCATTGCTGTTGGCAGCGATGCTGGCGATGATGGGGTTAGCTGGGAAACTGTTGAAGATGACGTGGATAATGTTGATAATACTGAGGTAAATAAATAGGCACCTCGATCAATTATTTGAGTAATTGTTTTCATGTAAAAATCTAGGTCATTCTTTTGAGAGGATTTGCATAAGTTAACCCCGAGAGACATTGCTCAGAGATAGGGCATGGTATCATTTGAAAGGATAGTACTTTGTATGCAGGGCATCATCTCTGTTAATGTTTACTTAAAGTGGATATCTGAACTTTGTGTCTACCTGAAAACTTCATGATCTGACCTTAAAAGTTCTACATATTATGAGCTTTTTTGTGGAACTAGTAATATAATATTAATGCCATGAATAGCAAATTGTCGCTCAAAGAGGTGATTAATATAATTTGAAACAGCGTGTACGCCACTCCCAGGTTTTTAGTTGGCATTACAATTGTCATTTTGAAAGGTAATCATGAATGTCTTATGACCATGCAGTTCATAAGCATGTTTTAATAAATCTGTTTCGGTATTTTGTCTACTGCCCAGAACTCAAAATAAATGTGATTTTACGAGCTAATCATTTCAACATAATTNTGATCTATGTAGATTCGATAATTTCCAGTTTATTTATATGAGTCATCGTATCATACATCTCAAAAGGTCGCTGAGCAAGTGATGGGTCATTATGACGTATGTGATCTAATGGAAGTTAATAATGTTTTTGTTCCTATAATCGTTCTCTCTCTATGTTCTTTAATGAGGTCTACATTTACTTCTGGATTTAGGAACATAGGACAAACAATTCTGGTGAGGTTGAAAGTAATGAGATTGGTGCAGAAAATTCTGGGAATAATGGGGCTCTCTCGATTCCTCTAGCTGCATTTGGTTTTGTGACCCGACTAGCATCAGGAATATTTTCTAGGGGAAAAAAGCACTCGGATGAAGAAGATCTTGAATCGGATGATTTGACTTTGGACAGAGATCCCAATAATGAATCCAGCTCACAAAAACCTAATGATACTGAAAGTCAAATTTCGAACCCCATCACCAATTCTAAAGAGGAGGAGGAAAATGAAGCTGCTGAGTCCTCTGATTTGCTACAAGTTGCTGAAACTCTTTGCAGCCTAAAACTATCACAGTTGGATACTCCAATGCGCGAAGAACCTATTTCAAAATTCAAAGGTTTTGATATTGTTAGAGACCCTGTTGATCATTATTTTCATGGTACACCAGGGCAGGTACGTAGTGCTACTCGCAATTCGCATACCTTCACAGTATTAGTGTTATTGATCCGATTATGGTCTCTTTGACTTTTCTTCTAACTGTGGCTATGTTTGGTAAACCTAGCTAATAAGCTAGCTTATACCTTTTAAGTGAATTTCGAGTTTATAGTTGATAGCATATGACTTATGGTGAAAAGTTAGCTTATATGATAAAAGTGTTTGGTAAAATTAGCCGATAAATAAAAACTTCAATGGGCTTATTTGAAAAGCTACCCAAGGAAGCTTATGAGATAAGCTCGAACTTTTTAAACGAAGCTTATTTGAATACAGGATGCTTATAAGCTAACCAAATAAGCTATAAACTAGCTTATTTGGTTATCAAACATAGCTTATGTCTTATTTAATGATAAAATCTCTTTTAACAAGCTTTTTTTACGAAATTTACAGAACAATGCTGGCAGGAAGTGGCTCAAGAAAGTTCAGCAGGACTGGGACATTCTTCAAAATAACCTGCCTGGTATGAGTTGTGCACTGTGTTAATTTTAGGACTTCTTAAATTATTAATCCTAGTTAGCTTGTTGAATCGTATCAGAAGTTTGTCTTGAAAATTTAAGTGCTATTAAACAGAGGGCATATATGTACGTGTCTATGAAGATAGAATGGATCTTTTGAGAGCTGTGATAGTTGGAGCTTATGGGACTCCTTATCAGGATGGTCTTTTCTTCTTTGATTTTCTACTTCCACCGGAATATCCAGATGTTCCGCCTGTAAGAGAACCTCTGCATTAGTTTTCTACTTCATTTCTTTATCTTAAGTACATAAAGTTAACTTTAATGGTGCAATATCCCCATGCAATAGAGGTATTCTCTTCTCTTGACTTGTGGTTGATCGAATTACAGAAAGCTCCTGCTATCTTACAAATTTACAAAANTCCCTCACATATTCCCTTATTCAAGGTGCATCTTGTGAAGTTGATATAATGATTGACCTATATGTTTTTTGATTCGCCTTCTTTTTTTCTTTATTGTGTGCGTGTGTGATTAAATGTTATCTCTTAATGCCAACTCTATTTTCCATATCACTCTTTTATCTCCTTTAGTTTTCTGTTAGCTTTATAGGTTACTATTCAGTTGACTGTTTTTTTTTTTTCCTGGTTTACAGTCAGCATACTATCACTCTGGAGGATGGCGAATAAATCCGAACTTATACGAAGAAGGGAAAGTTTGCCTGAGTTTGTTGAATACCTGGACAGGTAGAGGAAATGAAGTTTGGGATCCTTCAACCTCAAGCATTCTTCAAGTACTCGTTTCCCTTCAGGGACTGGTATTAAATTCCAAGCCATATTTCAACGAAGCTGGATATGATAAACAAGTTGGGACAGCTGAAGGGGAGAAAAATTCTTTGTCCTACAATGAGAACACATTCTTACTGAACTGCAAGACGATGATGTATCTAATGCGAAAGCCCCCAAAGGTGAGCAAAATAACGATTGCAACTTTTTTTTAAATCCCACCCTAGCTTTCTTTCTTTTATTTTATATTGACTGGTAGTACTGTTGTTGTACTTATTGTTGTTATTAATTGTTATTATGCTAATTTGACATAAATAAAGTTTCCCTAATTGAAAATAAATCAACGATGAACTTGGAGATTGAATCTTTCTTTATCATCCCAATTCCCCCCCAAATTAATGTGAGACTGACAAGAGTAGTGTTGTAATCGAACCGAACAAGCCGAGCTTGGGCGTTTCGAGCTCGTGTTCGTTTACTTTCGAATATTGTTCGTGTTCGTTCATTTATTTTTCGAGCGAAAAATCGTGTTCGAGCTCGTTCGTTTCGTTGTTCGTCAAAATTTGAGTTTGTTCCTGTTCGAATAATTTAGGACATAAACTTTTTAAATCTGTTTGATTAACTCGAAATTCGTTCGTTTCGAACTCCTTTGAATTCAAAAATAATTTTTTTTTTATATTTTTAGATTTTTTATTAAAAATATCATGTAAATATATTAAAAAAATAAAATTATATTAAATTAATGTTCGCTAACATTATCGAGCATTCGCGAACGAGCTCATGTTTGTTAGATTATTAAACGAGCCTACTTTTCTGTTCGAACTCGGCTTGATTGACAAACAAACGAGCTCGAACGAGCCTTTGTTCTCAAAACGTTCAGTTCGTTAACCGCCCTAACAAGAGTGACAGTGATTAGAAATATCCCCAATAACATCTGTCGAATAGTAAAAAAAGTTTGTAGATTTCTGTTGGAGCAGATAACTTTTTGCCTACATTTATAAGAACTCATATTTTACTTGCAGGACTTTGAAGAGCTTGTCATGGAGCATTTCAAGAAGCAGGGCTACTATATTCTCAAGGCGTGTGATGCCTATATGAAGGGTCATTTGATTGGTTCTCTCACAAAAGACGCTTCCATAAGTGATGGTAATGCTAACTCGAATTCAGTCGGTTTCAAGCTTATGCTCGGCAAAGTTGTGCCGAGACTTTTTGCTGCATTGAAGGATATTGGTGCTGATTGCAAGGAATTTGAGCATTTGAATCACATTCAGTTGTAAGAATGATCTCAATTGGACTGTGTGAGCATTTTAAGTT